AAGTACTGTGCTGTAAGTACAGTAAATGTAATTTATTTATTCGTACTAGTACGTAATGCGAATTGGAAGTGAATTATCATGATAAAAAAAGTAATGTAGAATGTTAATTTACRGTTTGTTCAATGAGATAGTGGATAAAAATTCCAAAATACTTAAGCATTTGAAAAATAAAATCAATAATGTTAACCAAATGCTTTCACGTGCCGAATTGTAAGAGATGGACGAAAAAAGCGTATTYACACCAAGAATCTTCTTCTGGACTTTTGACACCTTCGTGACATGCGATAACGTTTAGGCCTACGTGATTGGCATGTACGGTACTTGGTACCCTTCTGGTTCGCTTGAGAAGGRTTTGTTTCCTACTGTTACACTCGTACTCGTCCTACGTGAAGTTTGATCTACTTCTTACTTCAATATCTGGCACGTTTTGCACAAGAGTAGTGAAACAATCTTTCTCAACAGAAGATCTCATTTCAGTATTTCTYCACGAAGGAATTTGCAAATCGGGTCATCGTCATAACTCTGCTTTCAAGAAATTTCAAAACGAAAAACAATGGACATCGAAAAACAATTCTCCGATCTCTTGCAATCTGTCGAATCTCTAAAGGCAGATAGTGTCAATGAGATTCGCAAATTGCGCGTAGAAAATGAGAAGCTTAAGGAGCAGCTAAAAGTCTTCTCTGGTGGAAGGAAGCAGAAGAGGATGACGACAGCGAACGCAGGCTTTGCGGAATGGGCACAGGCAGATTTTGTCCGCATGGCCAAAAACACGGACGCACTTCATGGAATGGACAACGTCGAAGTAGCTGATGGCGAAGATGGAATGGTTCTAACAGACAGTGTCGCCTTCGATCCTGAGAAGAGCTCGTATGCCAGCGGTTATGACTACAAGTATCTTTCGGCGAAAGAAGTTCTAATCACTTTGCATGATGTAGGAGATAACAATGTAAACATCGATGCTGGCCCTGGGATGTGGGCGAACTACATTCTTTCCAAGGAACGGAACAGTACTTTGAAATGCGTGGACAAAGCGAAGCTTCTAAAGGAAGGTAAGTATTACCACGTGAAGAGTATCAGAGAGGGCCTCGATATTGATACACTCGTGGCTTATTGCAAGGAGAGGAATATCAAAGCGATCTGTCCTACCAGTGTTTCCGACGAAATCTACCTCGCGACGCACAACAAGGTTTTGCGTGGACAGGGTATCTACCCTTTCTGCTGCGAAGATCCCCAGAGCTATAAAACGCTCGACCACAAATGGCTCTCATACCTATTCTGCGAAGAGAATGGAATTCCACAGGCAAAAACTCTGCCCCTTCGTGTGGACACCGTTGATGCCTGTCGTGAGCTTGTTGCAGAGACTTGCGCCGCCGGCAAACCCGTTTTCGTCAAGGAATGCTTTGACACGTGTGCTGGAGACGGCGTCATCAAGGTTGATAAAATTGAAGAGTACGACGATGCTGTTGAGCGCATCACCAAGGGAAGAGGACCGCAACCAGCTGATACATCTGGTATTGACCAACATATCATTGTTCAGGCTGGTCATCCGGGAAGGATTGCTTGCTGTCATAATGTTTTCTACAAAGGCAACTTGGTGTCGCTTTACATTACCAAGGAGAATATGAAAATCATGGACAAGCTTGGAGAGCTTCGTTGGGATATGACTATTGGAACTTGGAGTACCAAAACGGATGATTTGTCGACATCACTTAAGCTCGAGCTCGACGATCCATGTGACAGACTTATCCGAGACCAAGCAATCACGATCATGAAAAAGGTAGGCAAAGCCCTAAACTACACCGGTATGTGCGAAGTTGAATTTATTTGCGAACATTCTCCAGATGCGATCTTGAATGTGCTAGAGTTCAACCCTCGCTTCAGCGGAGCATGCCATTCATTTGTTGGTGCAGGAATGGTACAAGACTACATGCATGTTATTGGGCTGATGGTCAACACCAACGACGATACAGACAAGGTTATTGCCGAGAAAGCAGGTACCTTCCATGCGCGATCTGACACGCATTTGCCGAAGTCGAACTTCAGAGATTACAACACTCTCAAGTTTTACATGCCACAGCTTGCAACTATTGCCAAGTTGGGCAAGATTTAAACGTTCCATGCGTAGTATTTCTGCGAGGTCATAATATATTTGTTCCGATCAAGATAKTCCAAGTTTCTGCAACATTCTTTCAAATGTGTCGTACGGCATGCCTTCAACTATCGCTGTCTATTCGTTCATAAGTATATGAATCATAGTTTTTTAAAAGTAATCAATATATTTTTCCGTTGAAAAGGTGGTGTATCATAGCGGTCAATAGGTCTTCTCATTGTTTATGAGTCGTGCATATCCCATGATTCTTGCCGCAGGGACAATTGTGGTCTTGATCTTTCGTTTCGCCGTTCAAGTCGACAGAACAGTCGCAATGAACAGACATGGTACACATTGTTGGACACGCTGTACTAGGAGCGGTTCACGTGCATTGCCGGAACGCCAGCGCTTCTGTGCTCGTGACCATTTCGTTGCGCAATGCTTGTCTCACGAGAACTCATTTTTCCAATACTGGTGTCCATATCGCAATCCGACTTCCATTGATTCCGCGACATTTGATATCCGTACTGACTTGCAAAGTGTGAGGATCGGCATGCCGTTGGGTTGTAAAATTCCGYTGTCGTTTACCTCCACCCTCGGGACAAGAACGAGTAGATTGTCGCGATTGGCAACGATATTGTATTCTTCTTCTGTCTGTCGTTGGATTCCACCAGCCAAGTCATTGCACATGTGCCCCATGGTTTGGATTGAAAGCAATTTYGGGTCGGGACGCTCCGCCGGTGGTACCAAGTAGCAAGGTTTTTCCGGGTCGTGAATCAGTGCCTGCGACCSTCCGTTCCCTTCCTCGTCCTKTTTGTCGGCTAGGATGTGCGCCTTTACGCCTGYGGCACCGGTTGATTGTATGACGTCCCGGACGGTGAGCAGATTTCCTTCGTACCAAACATAGGAATCGAGGCCATCSGACAACATAAACTCGAAGGACCGCTTGCGTTGATATTGYGTTGTRCCATCCAACGAGTCGGTGATTTGACCGCAGCTTCCGTAGCCACAGAATGCAGACCCTTGGGTTTGTAATACATCGTCGATATCGRTGGATGCCTTGCGCACAAACAAGCCCAAGCCGGCATTTTCTCCTATCGTTGACGGTCTGAGCTCCACTACCAAACCCGATGGCAATTCAACGCTGCACTCGGCAAGATCGTCACCGCTTTGAATCGGCAACGAGGGGCCRTCGTAAAGAGGGACGAACGTGGCATCGGCCCATACCTKTTTGAGCATTGTTTGAATCTCCGCAATATCTGCATTGAACCGAGCAGCGATTTCCTGCGATTTGGGGACGATGTCTTCCATCGATGCAAGCTCTACCGTRACGACCTCGTTTTCGCCAAAGTCTATCTCGAACGAGATTGTTTGGTCCTGCTGCTGCGRCCGCTGGATGCCCGCCCGCTCCTTTTCGAGGAACTCGAGCCATGCTTCCCATACCAACAGGCCGTCGGGAACATAGTCCCACTCGTCCCAGTTTTCGTTGTGRCTGGCAATTGTGGAGCCATCKCCTTCCGGAAGGATTCCTCGCAATTCCGACTGGATCGGTGGATACGATCCGGGCCASGTTCTCGMGGATGCGGCTCGCTGGATGGACAAGTCGGCACTGGCCATGACGACACCGTAGTCGACGAAATCTCCCCAGGCGACTTCTTCTTTCTGCCATTTGACCCGCTCGCTGGTCGTGTCCATGGCGTACTGAAAGAGGTCCACCAGGCAGCGGTTGTACGCCGTGCAGACGAGGCACGTCAGGAATGGCGATCCGTCGTTGCCGGCCGCGAGGGAGGCAGACAGCGCCCCCGACAGACCMAGCTCCTCGGCGATTTCCCGCTGCGCCGTGAGATGGGAATCCTCGCCCGCGAGACTCACTCCCCCAACCCACATGTCGTAGAGGGACGGAAAGATCCGCTTGTCTGCCGCACGGCGGTGTACGTAGAGGTCCGGGAACGTCTCTTGCGACGAGGAGGAGAGCGACGACAGATCGATCGGTCGGTCCCGGGTCACGAACGCACCGATTCCACGGTGGAGCAGATTGTACTTGTGAACCAGGGAGCGGGGCAGTCGTCCCACGATCCGAGAGGATCCGGTCACCATTTCAACCCATTCTACGCCGTYAGCATCACCGTCCAACAGGCCGGCTTTTCGAAAGATCYGGGATATTCCTTCCTGGGACAGCAAAGCATCGGTAGAGAATCGCCAGAGTTGGTGGTCGCCTTCTTCGATTGTTAGCACCGATGGTTCTTTGCGCGTCTCCCCCAATCGATCGGGTTGTTTCTGTCCCGCGACCCACTGGGCCTGAAGGATTCGGAGGAGCGTGATCAGTTCCCGKTCGTCCCCCTCGTTGCCGGCGTGCTTTGCCACCCTTGATTCCAGGACACCGCTCCCGACCGGGCCGACCAAGCACTCGATCTCTGCGCTGGRCTCGGTGCCCGACAGGCTTTCCGTCGAGGCCGGCGACATTCCGTGGTTCAGCGCCTCGGAGGCTTCCGTGCCGTCGGTCCAGATCGCGTCTTCGTCGCTCGATCCTTCTGYCGTCGACGACGCGGCAACGACGTCTCTGATCGAGTAGAGGGACCACGCGAAGGAGGATTCGCCGGGGGACGGAGACGGCGGCGACCCGGACATCCGAACCAGGTAGTCCCCGGCCAGGCTGGCATCGACGACCGATCGGAGGTCTCGGTCGCGGATCCCTGTGGGGTGGCCCAGCGGCGACGAGGAGAGCCCGGGGGTTCCCCGCCGCGGGCTCCGCCGAACCGCGGTGCTCYCCCGATCGGGAGAAAGCCCACCGGTGCGCCGGCGGCAGGCATCGCCGCCCCGCCACGAGCCGTGCGCGGGGACAAAGCCCGGGGGCCCCGTTCCGGCGGGAGGGACCCAGGCCAGGGAAGGCGCCCTTCCGAACGCCGCCAGCGAGAGCATCAGCCAACCGGTGGCGGGGCGGCGAGGGAAGGACGAGATCCCGGTCGTGCCGGGGCGGTGCGGGAGGAGTYGTGCCATGGCGGTTGTCGCGGTGCCGGAACCCCGTGGGTGGATGCGGCGGTGCCGTTGCTTCGGGAGGGTGGGAGTCCACGAGCGAGTCGGTCGATCAATGCAGCGGGCTTGCCTGGCTCGGTTCGGCTCGGTTCGGYTCGGTGGGAAGGGATTGCTCGTGCGAGACGACACCGAGGTGGAGTATGGTGGTTGGTGGTTGGTGTTTGGTGATTGTTTGTTCCTCCGCAAAAGAGCGCCAAACGGAAGAAATGAGAAATGGAAGGGGGGTACTGTTACTGGTACATCATCGAGGCAGTCCGTGKAAGGATTTCGGATTTTTACGTCTAAAAAGGTTTCTGCCGTCAAGGCCCTAGTAACAAACACGTGGATTGCTGAAGGCAGAAGTTATGATCGTACTCGTAGGTACTAAAGCGTACCTATGTTACGTACCCTACTGGGTAACGTCCTCCTTACTCTCGACTCTCGACAGTGGACGACCCCTCGCGTCGTCGTGTCGGTTGACATGATTATTTTTTAGGAGTATCTTTCCTGTGTTTTTGTTCGAGTGAGTCCTACCTTACGATACGTCGCTGGTTAGTAGATTAGTAGATTAGAAGTACCGTACGTGGTACGTGCGGTACAGCAATACGGGTAGGTACGTTTTTACGTAGTTGGTCGTAAGTTGAGGAGTGCGAACTCGTATGTAACGAACGTAGATGATTACGTACGAAGTCAGGTCAGTGATCAGTGAGCAGAATCGTTTTTCGTTTTTCTCCCATCCTGTAACTCGTACCGTATCGTATCATTCGTCTTCAGTGTTCATCCCGCAAACGACACCTTTTGGAATCCGAGGACGACAAAACGGGCACCAGTGGCAACAATACRCGTGAGAAAGGACAATTGCTATGATTGGAACGCCCAACCGCAGCGGTTCCGATATCGGTTCCGAAATCGGCMACCCTGCCGGCACCGGTTGCGGCAAGATTCGGTCTGCTGCTACCCTCCGACAAATGCACCCGCGTTTGCCGTCCCGATCGACGGGTTCGGCGCGAGGGTTCTTTTCGGCTGTTTTGGTGCTGGTGGTGGCTCTGGCGGACTCTTGGATGCTGTGCTCGGAGGGCCTTTCGTCCTCCTCTTCCTTCTCGTCGTCCTCGTCCTCCTCCTCTTCCCCGTCCGAACCATCCCCGTGGGCATCCTCCTCCTGGCTGCTGGAACTGGACTTTGGTGGGCCGTCGTCGTCGTCGTCGTCGTCGTCATCGCAGGCAACAAGCAAAGAGGAAACGACCACCGCTCTTTCCATGTATTCCGACGCCCCTCCCTTTTCGTCGTACGGAGCATCGGGGTCTCGGTTGGTGGTGGTGTGCCCGGTGGTGATCGAGGCCGAGGACGACGCCACCAGCAAGAAATTCCCGGACGCCTTTGTCGGGCGGGGTGCGTCGGTGGTTCGGGCACGGACCGAGGACGACGACAAGGAAGCCGGAGACGGGGCGGACGWCACTGCCACCCAGAAGGGTTGCTTCACCTACGTCACCATGGAGGGATCRCGGAGGATCGAGTTTTCTCCCGGYGGCTGGACGCTCCAGTTTCCCCCGGGTGGAAAGGCCAACCGGGGGAGAGCCTCCAAGCTTAGGTTTTACCTCGACCTGGAAACCGACCTCCGCCGCAACGACGTCTTCCTCCCCGCCGGAACCCGCCTGTATTTCGCCGCCAGCGCCTGGAGGGARCTGGACTACGAGCAAGGCCTCGCCAAGATGCGGCCCCTGAAGGCCGCGCTCGAGGAGGCACAGGCCGTCCTGGACGAACGCCTGTCCCACGAGACGGGGGACAGGCGCCTGGACGGGACGGATCCGGTCGAGACCCTCAAGGCGTACGGGGACATGACGGGRCTCATCCTGGACCGGGACCGGAAGCGGGCGGCCGTGAGGGCGGCCCTCGATCGGGACGGCCACGGGTATCCGGGCTCGGAGGACCTCCCCGAGGGGCCCTGGCCGGGGACGACGGAGTGGCTGACGGTCACGGAGCGGAACCCCATCTACGCGCGGGTTCCCGGAGACGCCACCGACGGCGGAAGCTCCGGCACGGCCAAGAAGAACYTCCTGCAGCAGCTCATGGAAGCGGGCGGGGAGAAAGCCTATCGCTACGGCCGGGTCGGAACCTGGACGGGGGAAGCGATCAGCAGCCTGTTGCTCGACGACGAATGAGGGAGGGAGKGACCGACGCAGCGCACCAATAGATCCATGCACCCACCCATGAATCKATGGGTCGATCGATCGATGGCGGCATGTGCGACAACCGCAATTGTGCCATCGACCAACCTGCGGTTTCACTTCAAACGAACAACGAGAATGGGCCTCCATCCTTTGCACCACTGGAAAGCAGCRGTGGACCCGCTAAGGGATGGCAGCCGATATCTTGATAGCCACATCACCTCGTGAGTCAATCGAGTCGGAGTGGAAAGCTCTCCTGGTCGCCCACTGTACGACCGCACGACCGCACGACCGTACTCGTTGTCGCTACACATCACCCTTGGTACGATTAGTATTTGAACACCACAAAACGCGCTTGAAGAAAGAAACGATGAGTCTGTCAACACCGCAAAATGTGCTGAAAGAAAGAATAATATAGAAAAAATAAGYAATGGCTGGTGTGATCATGCCGTGAGCTTTGGTGTGTTGTAATCGGTTGTATTGTATTGTAGTRTTATTGTAGGAGCACAGWGYAACTATCGTTCCGCTTTGCTCCTCGCGGATCGCATYCGACGAAGCCGAGCYCGGCTAAGCGAAAAATATGATAAACGAAATGATAAAGACGACCAAAATGGAGAACACCTTCAGGGCGAGGCCCCGGTTGGACCGCAGATTCGTCAGYGTGTCCGTCAGCGTGTTGAGGCTGAGGTTGATCATGGAATTCGCCTCGTCRACGTTGTCCTCGACGCGTTGCACCATGTCCTTGTGCTCGTGCACCATGGTCGCCAATCGGTTGTACACGGCTCCWAGCTCGACAATGTTTGATTCGACCTGCTCCATGGCGTCGGCCCTGTCCCGCAGGTAATCCTGGTCGGGAATCAGCTGCATCATCTGGTCCTGCCCCGATGCCTGTTCCATTTGCTGGATCTCAAAGGGCGACAGCATGCCCGCTGGGTTCTGGTTGTTGTTTTGCTGCGAATTGCCGTAGTAGCTGGGGACGGCAGATTGTGCATAGCTGGGCGTCCTGCTGTTGTTCTGCGAGGGTGTCACACCATCTGTGAAGCAAACGACGTCCGCGGGAACATCCGATAGCGTAGCAAAGCAACCAACCAACAAACAAACAAACAAAGAAGCAAAGATCAATGAGTCTAGAGGGAAAGATTGCATCTCCAGTCCCAAAACCTAGCCGGCATGCATTCCATAATCATTGGTTCGGTCCTATAACTCTACATCAGTGCCGGTGTACCGAATGGTGGCGCACGCTGGGTTCAGCCCTGACACATACTTCCGGAAGGAGCTTCCAACCGCTTTGCAACAACGACATTTTYTGAAGCAAGAAACAACCAAACAAACCACAAAAGAAGCACCAGAACTTACGCGGACGAGGCAATTGTGAYCCTGTRGATTCTCCCGCGGCCATCATGCCACTGGTCAGGTCCAGYGCCGGAAACCCAGCGGGCCCCGCGCCGCSACCGGCGTGGTTGTCGCCGTAATAGACTGGCGGTCGGTTCTCTAGGTTCAGRACGGGCACGTCCTCGACGTCGGCGCCACTCGTCCCGTAAATGTCCCGCTTCCGGTCCGTCGTTTCCTTCAGAACGTCGGTCCGGTGCTGGAGGATCGTTTTGAAGCCCGCCGCAGCCTGCCCGAATTCCTCCTGGAGCTGCCCGACCACGTTGCTGGCCTGCTGGGCCGTCTGGGAATTCTTGCCCAGGCTTCGTTTTTGCTGCGTGCTCTGCCGCTCTGCGGCGTCCAGGCGGCCGTTGAGGTTCTCGATGGCCATCTTGATCCGAACGACCAGCTCGTTGACCTTCTGGCTGTCGTCCTGGAAGAGGGACTTCTGCCGGACCAGCTGCGTCAGCTCGGCCAGGAGGCCCGAGGTGGCGGCAATGTCGCGGGAAATCCCACCGGCCGTGTTGTGAAACTCCCGGAGCTGGGAGGCGCTKCCCGCGTTCCGATCGCCGGGGGTGTTCCTTCCCGCCGTTGGCGGCGACAGGATTTGCGGGGGAAGCCCGCCGTTCKTTGGGAGGCCGCGGGCCAGCGCCATGAACTCGTTCGTCCGGTTTTCCGCCATGGTGTTTGACCAACAATTCGGAGGAGGGTTGTCCTAATTTCGATAAGTGCGTCTTCGGTTTAGTGGTGGTGCATGTGTGGAAACGTTTCGGGGAGCTCTTGCTTGGGTACTCGTACTGTGGAGAGTGATTTTGGTTTGGACACCTGATTCTCTATCTATTGGAAGAGGAAAAGAAACTACGGAGCACAGTAGGTAGAACCACAACGAATGCCGAATCGACGTCAATGAATGACCGCTTGTGCATTACAGTTTTGTATCGAAGTTTCAAAATCGTATCGTAGGGTGTGACTAGTGGAACCGTACGCACGATGGCGTACTGTACTGTACTTACTGGTACTATCGTTCACATCGCTCAAAATGGCACGATACTCGTACCGGTACTCGTACTCGTGCTTTCCAGTACTTACGGGCGTCTACGTTACGTATGGTACAGTACGAAATTCAGGCTGCTTCGAATTTTTTATGAAATTGCCAGAGAGAAACAGTGAAGACCCATACTTACGTGCTTGCGTAGGAAACAAACCGTGCGGAGAAACCGCGGATCCATTCAGTCTTGTTTCTAACGTCAGTCACCAATGTATCTGGGGCGCGCGAGAAATAAAAAATGAGACAAATTTCCCGAGGCAAGAAGCTACCGCTGTTTCGTCTCAACCAACGATTTCGTATCGGGCGACGGAAAAATGAAAACTCGAAACGGGTGCCGTRCATTCAATTCTTGTGCATCCCATCAATCGTCGCTCGCKAGTCTCGTCCATCGTCCATCCGCTTTCGGGTAGAGYGGTCGATCTTCCATACAGCAGGAACAACGAAATCTTGAGTGCTTCCCAGTACAGCAACCCACCAAACCCCCTGTTCAACCGATTGCTTGTTGGTTCTCATCCTTTACAAACTTACAAATATACTGAGCTGTCCTGGATCGTAAGAACAYAMGATCCGAARCGGAACGCGCAAAGAAACAACAGATACAACAGAACAAAGAACAAGAGATCGCACGACAAATTAAATTGCCATGGTATCGATTGAAGAAGATAATACCGATTCATCCTCGTCGTCTTCCGACGAAAAGATGACCGATGGGGACGAGAACGATTCGCCGCAACAGGTATCGTCGTCCTCGTCGTCGTCCRACAACGACGASGAGGAATCCGGTGACAGCAGCGACGACGACGACGAATCGTCCTCTGACGCCACAAATTCTGTAGCTCGTGCCGCCAGCCGGGGCTACTCGAGGCTGTTTTCTCCCTACCGGACGCTCGGAATCGTTGCGGACGGACCCTTCCACCTCATTCCGAACCAGAATTCCTCGARCGCCATGGTGTGTGCCGCAATCGGAGAACGATTCCACCTGGTGCAGTGCGACAGGCTCCACCCGGTAATGGTCAGCCACGCCCTCCCGGGGACGAAGGACGGCAGCAAAACCTCCGCCGGTGGGCCCCAGAAAATATACCACCTCGTYTCGGACAATACACTGAGCGTTGCGGTGGTGGCGCACGGCTTTGTTTCCCCGGGGGGCAACCTAGCGGGGGGGSCCAGGAGGGTGACGCTCTTTGAGCGAACCCGGTCCGTCGCAACCCTCGATCACCTGTGTGAGCGCAGCGACGAGAACGAGRCGGACTGGTCGATCGTTGGCTTGCTGCACCTGGGAAAGATCAAGATTACCATGACCGGAGAAAAGGCGGACAAGAAAGAAAACGCGGCCCTGATYGCCGTTGTTCTGAGCAAGGGGAAGCCCTACGACGAGGCCAGCGATGGGGTTCCCGTGGTGGGAGAAGACGACGGCGGCAGTGATAGCGGCAGTGACAGTGACAGCGACTCGGACGAATCCGAAACCAGCGGTCCCGAGGACGCCAGAGGTCCGGAACAATGCCGTGGGGAGATTGTGCTGTTAGTGGCATCCCGAACCACGCTGACAGTGCACAAGCGCATCAAATTAACGAAATTCCCATCCTTCTGTCCTAGGGTTGCCATGCACCCACCCACCTACGTCAACAAGATTGTRGTTGGTGGATCCTGCGCCAAAACGTCGAGGGATGCGATGATTCTGCTCAACGTTCGAACGGGAAAGATCATCCACACCTTCAAGTGTCTCGATAAGCATTCCCCTMTCGTCAAGTCAGAAATWACTTCTTTAGAAGCTTCCCCTGCAATTGATACAATCGCTACCGGAAACTCAAAAGGTGCCGTGCACCTGATCAACATTCGATTCGACAAATTGCTCTTTTCTCTAAACCACGAACCAAAAAATGCTGGTCGCAAGCCGGTACGAATCACGAGCATGAGTTTTCGGACCGATGGGGCGGCGCTCAAGTACGGGATTGCACCGCTCGCGGTGGGTCGTTCCGACGGCACTATAACGGTATGGGATCTGTCGCCACCGAATGACGATGACGACGACGATGACTTCCATCCCGCGGGGGGACGGACCATTCTTTGCGAAATGGAGCAAGCCCATTACCCTGGCGGAGTGTGCAAGCTGCAATACCTCCCCCAGGAACCCTTGTTGGTATCGACCGGAACACGRTCCAACAACCTTGTCATGCACATCTTTGACAGTCCCGACCACTCCGGAAGGATTTTGCGACAACGCCGTGGTCATACGGCCCCACCAAAGTGCATTCGTTATCTCCATCCCGGCATCGGAGGCATTCTGGCCAACACGGGCGACGGCACCGATGCCCGTGCCTGCCAAATCTTGTCGGGTGGGAGTTCTGACCGAACCCTCCGAAAGTTTTCTACAGTGCGYTCTGTTTTGGACCGAGAATTCAGTCAGGGGAAGGGTTTGGAGAAGAAAGCCAGGGAACTGGGAATGCTGAGCAAAACGCAGTTGTTGCTCCCACCGGTCACCGCCATGGTCACATCGGAAATGCGGAGCCGCGACTGGGGAGACCTCGTTAGCATTCACCAAGACCATGCATTTGCGTATGTATGGAGTTCAAAGAACGGAGCGCAATCGGGCCCCGTTCTCCGACAGGACGGCTGGAACGTGAGCGCGATGAAGAAGCAGCCTCCGAAGTCTGCTCACGCCACCTCTGTTTCAATGTCGACGTGCGGGAACTATGCTCTAGTCGGAACCAAGGGAGGCGTTATTTACAAGTACAACGTTCAGAGTGGAATGACTCGTGGCACCTACCCCATCGACAGCAACAGCAAGAAAAACAAAAAGCGTGGCAAGGATGCCGGTGACATCCGAAGGACATTCAAAGCGCTAGAGAAAAAAATGAAACTCAGCAATCGAGCATCGAACCAGGAGAAGGAAGAACTCGACCTCGTAACCAACGCGAAGAGAGAAGCGATACGCAACGCAAAGCTTCGATCGGCATCCCACGAAGGTTATGCCGTGACCGGTATCGCAGTGGACAGCGTGAATCGGACCGTAATTTCCGTCGGGGCCGATGCCAAACTCATTCTATGGAGCTTTGCGACGCATGCACCRCACAAGAAAAGCCCCAGTATGTTGCCGGCCCCTGCAACAAAACTTTGCCATGTCAAGGATTCAGATCTTGCTGCAATTGCTCTTGACGATTTTTCGACCGTGCTGTTCGACTGCTCAACGTTCACTATTGTTCGACGATTTGGTATTGGTKCTCAATCTAATCGCCACACGGGTCCGATCAGTGACTTTGGTTTCAGCCCCGATGCTAGGACTTTATACACTTCTTCTCTGGATGGGACGATTCGAGTTTGGGACGTTCCTACAAATTCTTGTGTAGACTGGATGTGCTTCGACACCCCGCCGACGTCGCTTACCATTAGTCCAACGGGAGAATTCCTTGCCACAACACATACTGGGAAGCTCGGTATCAGCCTTTGGAGTGATCGAAGTTTTTATCAAACRGTTCACGTAGACGGAACTCTTGCACTTGCAGCACCCTCAAGGATGGACGATCCCGCACCGATCGCTGAAATAGATAAGATGGACGATGACGACGATGTGAAGGATCTTCTCAATTCCATTCCTTCTGGAATAGGTCAGGATAGARAAAAATCGGTGAATGAAGAAGACAATTCCACTGGTCCGGCCAAAGCAAGAGAGCATGGTCTCATTACTCTCAGTGGTCTGCCACCAGCTCACTGGAAGAATCTGTTCCATCTCGAGCTMGTCAAGGAAAGAAACAAGCCAAAAGAACCACCGAAAAAACCTCCATCTGCTCCATTCTTCTTGCAATGGCGCCCGGGAGTCAGTGCCACAGGTGAGTCGACCACAAATGCAGAATCGAAAGATCAAAATGAATTGCAAAACAATGATGWCGATCAGTGGGATGCAGTCTGGTCTGACGACGACGACAACGAAAAGAAAGGTGCGGAAAATGATGCGTTCCCAGCCGGTCTCCCACCAAAKGACGACGAGACGAAGAGGCCACGAACGGAAGAGGAGGGCAAGGACGAAGTGCYAACGTCAAAGAGACGGAAAGTTTCAATCTATCGATCACAGCTTGCATCATTGTTACAAGAGTGCTCAGAGAATGCCAAGAGAAACAATGACTATARTGAGAAGAACAAMGACATTTTCACCCCAGTGACAGAATATGTGGGGACTCTCGGCCCTTCTGCGATTGAYGTTTCTCTGTCTACACTTTGCAATGGCACACACGATTTGGAAGATGGACTCCCACTTCTAACTCTGGCTTCTCGGTGGCTAGTTGAGGCCTGCCAATCCCGAGAACGTTTTGATGCKGTCAATGCATACTTGCATCGGTTCTTGTACCTCCACGCAAACATATTATCTGGCATTAACGAAGCTAAYGGGAATGATATGAAAAGGTCTGAAGAGTCGGCGRCCGCAACTGCCGAAGAAGTGGAGCAAAGGCGCCGAGAAAGTGAACAACGRAGGGAGCTTGCATCGTGCATTGCCCAACTAAAACAAGCCCAAAGAGATGGATCTGTGAAGTTGCAAGCGGAAATGCAAAATGCTTTATGCTTGTTGCGCCATTTCTCTAGAATGGTGTAGGTTGAATTCTTCCGCGATACACATTGAAATTTCGATGTACAGAGAACTGAAACGAAGCTAGTCTATTGAATGACGTACATACCATAATGATTCGAAAGTTGAAATCTTGTAGATTTAATRATATTATCGATTCCTAGGATTCSCAATAAGATCTAGTATTCTCTGGAAAGTCATTTCCRAAAATCAAAGCTCTTGACGTCAGCAAAGATCGAGCACCAAAGACTTGGGGTGCTGACGAATTCCTGCCATGTGAGTGACTCTTTTTTGATGAAGGGGAAAAACTCAGCAACGGGATCGGGTGGTGAYGATTGTAAGACTCCCCGTTGTCTGTACAAATATTGAGAAAGAAAATGCACTTGGCGCAATCCAACTATGAAATTAAACGGRAAGAAGATTGGTAAACACCACCAAACTTGTAATGGCAGAGATCGTTGGCCGTTACCGACATCAATAYTATCTTCGACGGTGGCCAAACGGCAGTYTTCTTCGTCTTTGTACAATTCATTGACGCGATCATACAAAAGAAACTGTGTGTAGTATAAGAAAATAACWCCCAGCGAACTCCAATATAAACCTCCTGKGATATGGAGCGTTGATGCTAATGGACCCAAGAGCATTCCGTAAGTGAACGGTCCAAGTGTTCCGTAGCCACCGAAACCCCGGGGTTTCTTTCCTGCGTCTAGTTCCATTTGTAACAATTCTTCTTCTACCACAAACTTGTAGTATCCGTACCACAACAAACCAGTGGGAAAGCTCCCTAGCATAACCAGCCACAGAGGTCGAGGAACACCCGGTGCACCAGGAGCTGCTGTCAACAAAGTGACAGCATCTTCCAGGTCCAATATTTCTTCGCCACTCGTGTCTTCTCGGAAAATTGAAAAGGACGTTTTGAGCGGATCTGGAACGGGCCCTTTGAAGAATTCGTTCAACCTCACCTGAAAAGAATTTGCRTGCTGAGAATTCTGTGGCGTGTAAACCGGCGTCTTCGTCGTCAATGCCCCTGAAGTTCCCAGCAGACTTTGAATGTAAAGCAGGTATATAAGTAGAAGAGACGACAGTTGATGACTTGGTGACTTAGACAGCGCCATTGTTCCCTTTCGTTGGGTTCGACGGTTTCATTGTGTGAAACGATAGGATGATAGTGCTTCTCGTTTTTTTTTCCTCCAGATTCCGTCACGGGTTCTGTTCTCTTTTCCTGTCCAATGCAATACCGTTACGACAGGTACTTCATATGAGTACGAGTTTTCGTACTCGTAGTACCGGCCTGTACGGTTCGTGCTTCTGGAGGGAACAAAAGTCCAAAAATATTACGTCACGCGGAGTCGTGAAACGATATGATAGCTATGTTTCTACAGCACGCACCTGTTAGTTTTTACGCTGCCGTAGAAATCATACAGCACTGGTTCTGATTGACACTATGAAGWACGTTCTGTACGTACGGTACGTAGTACATCTAGAAAATCTAGAAAACTACGATGCGTATTTGGAGGTTCTCATATTTACAGCCTGTGGTAACAAAACATCTGCCGCCATAGCTACCGGTACCGTTACGTGACTGCACCATCTTGCTTTTTCGCATGGTAGAGAAAGTAGTTCCTTGTTTCTAACAACCAAACTTTCGATCTTTGTCATGTTGACCATGGTAGTGCTATTGGTCAACTGCAGATYGTTCTTTGCCCGTCAAAGTTTTATCTTTTCGATTTTTTGAGCGTGTGGTTCTGATTAGAGCAAAAATTKATCAGGACTGGAGAGTGTGTCATCGTGGGGAAGTGTTTGTAAAGGAATAACACGTAGCATTACCATTCATCCTTGCCTCGACAATTGAGTGATAAGAAACAAGAAAGGACAGGCAAAATGACACACCGAAGATACGCACCATCCCACTATGACTAGCTCTGCAGCATTCCATCCGGTGTTGACACAATCGTGAATACTCTATCGGGCTRAACTTGAATGCAACACGTTCTTGCACCCTTTATTCGTACAACAGTTATTTCAATACTCGAGGACATACGACTCTAATCATTCGAGAGGAAAGTCGGCTTCGATCCCATAAGAGAAAGACCAAATGCGACGCTTTAATAAGATACAAAACCAGTCACCCTTCAGCATTACCAGAAAACAGATTTGTGTCACTGGAGGAACCGCAAGCTGCATCRCGGAAGCGCTTCAAAAGAATAAGTCCTGGATTCGTTGGACCRCATTTTTTCCGGGTTAGACCGCTCTGTGGTGATCACACATAAATTAATATCTTCCCCTCTTTTCTTCTCTGCGTCAAAAGGTTGYAACTGCAGCCTTTTTCAATTGACATCAAGCTTTCCCGTATTTTTTGGCGTTTCCTSGGAACAAATACCATTATTTTGCCAGGATGATCGGGTGAAGTCGAAAAGCTGACGCTTACTAAATTTCAGGTGATACCTCGTTAAGCTCGTATTGGCTGCGTCCTACTCAACGAGCAGAATCTGGACGTTAGTCATTAGCAACAACAGAATCGACCTAACGCGCTCCCGATTCAGAACTCAGTTTGATTCGAGGAATAAATTGTTGCAAATGTTTCCAYACTAGCACAAAACTCCAAAGGAATACAGCCGGTTTGCGATGTTTYGAAATAAGGATTTTTTGCCCATTTTGCCTCGGTSATTCCTAGAACAACGGCAGCGTCTCGCTCTTTCGTCGTAAGATCAGACCATTCCTTCCCTGCGATTGGTATTTGTCCACCACTRTCCCAAGTAGAACTAKTGTATCCCAATACCTTTGCTGCGTTCTTTGCATCCTCTGGTAATTTGTCRAAATTGCAGTCGTGGCGGTTCRTATTCTTTGCAATAATCGATTTTGTTCCTGTACATGGTTTTGAGTCATCTGATGAAGATGAACTAGAGTCTGACTCATTGTCCCATTTCTCTTCATTGTAACCCAATG